TTAAAACATTCGTTATAATATATACTCTAATACGATAAAATAACTATCAATAGTTTACCACATATGGACACTTGATATTGTATAATGGATGACCGGTGTCCCAACTAGGTATTTCATATAAACCTTATGTCCTTAACTCCTTATCGTCAAATTCATGTGTATAAATTTTGGCCTTATAACAGTGGTTTTTATTCAATAGGCCTTAGAATGTTTTCTTTTGGACTGTTTTCAGTCCCAGACCAGACCAGATCAGACCAGACTTAAACAGACCAGACCAGACCAGACCAGACTTAAACAGACCAGACCAGACCAGACTTGGATAGTTATAAAATACACAGAGACCAGACGTTTACCAGACCAGACCAGTTCAGACCAGACCAGACCAGACTTAAACAGACCAGACCAGACCAGATCAGACCAGACCAGACCAGACCAGCAAATTTCAGTCCAAAAGAAAACATCCTTAATATCTTTATGTATCCCTATGTGGTATATCTATACAGGATATAGATACGTATGATCCGAGATATGTAAAACCGTACAAGTCTTGCAGTATCTAATTGAATATAAAACCATACTTATTGGGGTATCCATAATTAGAAGTATTGTTTGGGTTAATCGGATAAATGACATGCAGGTAGATATTGTCCAATAAGCAAAATTTTGCTTATCCTATACTAATAAATTTTATTTCGATATTTGTAATACATAAGGTATCGTTGAAAAGTATACCGACAATTTACAGGTTATACGGTAAATTAATATATCAATTTACACTTAAGGGATAACCATAATTTGTAAGTATGATCATTTAGGTAACATATTATCACATTTAATATGAAAAAGCAAAATAAGTGATTCACATATCCTAATAATCGTAGGATACTACCTGGTTTAATAGATATTTATTGATATACAGTTCGTATATCCGAGGTAAAGTACTCCAAATATGTATATTACTACAAATGTGGGATAATATAGATTTAATGCTATAGTTAAGTGATATAATAACATCAATTATATCACTTAAGTATACCAGTACATTGTTCATATATGCAAAAATACTTCATTATCTATGTATCAGGTTTAACATCGTCGTATGAGAATTGCAATAGTCTATTCAACACCCTAGTGCGTACATTAACTATACAACCCATATATCTTACTATATACATTAAATGCCTATGATGGTTAGTTGGTCCATTTCCGTTACAACAGTTAGACGGAAACTCCCATTTCGTGGGGATAATTGCTGCCTTCCGTTGACCTCCCGTGGCGAACGATTCTATGGCCAAGGAAGACCTTGGCACTGTTTAGTCTTGTGAGTCAGCTTCTCCCATACCATAAATATCTAACCTATTTGCTTGGACGTGTGCAGAGGCTCCTTGTATCCTTCATTTTGCTCTCGTGCTCTCTGTGTTTGATTTCCTTCGAAGCTGTGAGTTTCCTTTGTTTGCTTTCCCTTTATCTACTCTTTAGTGTTTAATATAGAGTAACTACAACAAATTTGATTCTTCTTTGTGATTATCTCCTACGGTAATAGCCCACTCTTTTGACGTAAACAGAGTTCATAAGATTTGTTTAAATAACCCATGGTTGCAGCATAGTTAATATTTAAATTATAGGTGAAATTGAAAAGGGCTATCCTTAGGTTTCATATATATAGTAAAAAACACAGATTCATAAAACCAAAAATCCATCTTGTTAGCTTTCCTACTTCATTGCGTTCATTCACCGCCAATTTCCTTTTTTCCAAACACATTTTTTGTGGATTAACGCTATCTTATCAGGTGGATTATTTCATTTGACTGTTCCAGAAAATGGTTCAAACAACATGTTGTCAATTTATTTATTTTACATGTTTTCCCCTTTCATGGAATTAGTTATTTCACACAATCATCCATATTAACTATGAAGTGATTGGGAAGGTATTCAATGATGCAATGACATGGGGCCCTGTCTCTGACTGTTCGTTTTCCTCTCGTCAACTATGGAGTTTGATACATGGCCATAGTTGACGATAGTAGGTCTTCTTAAACAAATCCTTACCTATTTTCCTATGACATGTGATGTTTTCCCAATAAGATCAACTATTGTTATATGACGATAGTCATATAACAATAATAAAAATATAGTTTGACTTATGACTAGTAATCATTAAGATCATATAAAATGGATGGTGATAATAAAAATCAGAAATAGATAATGTTAATAATTAAATAAAAGTATTACCAATACTCGTAGTAAATCCTTACTCTTATATGGATATGATTCTCGGAGTAGCTAGTCAATTATCATATAACTTAGGCTGGACTCCTTAATTTAGTTATTGGGATCATTTTGACTAGCCAATCATAAGTAAACTAAAAGTAATACGTAGTAATAATCTGGAATAGGAGAATGTTAATATGGGTTAGGTAGGAAGTAACTACTGGATCATTTACCTGTCTGAAATAATAAACAGACTAAGTGGACTAGGGACTTGCATGTTACGATTGCTCGTCGTTATTAAAAGATTGAGTCGAAATACAGGATCGGTAGCAAGAATTAACTGATCAATTGGTTAAAGAAGATTGTTGGATACAGAGTACTCTTTTGAAATAAACTAGACTAACTAATTAAATTAATAAGTAGTATTACGGAGTAGTATATTAGTGATTTACGATTCCAAATTTCCGAATTCGTAAGTTCCTTATTATAAAGGAATGAAATCCGAAGTAATTAGACCAGAGTAACGGCAAATTTTAATTTATTAAATAATGGACGTTAATTATGAAATAGATAAATAAATAAAGTTAGCCGATTGAGTGGATGAGATATCGAGGACTAATTATAGAGTTTTGATTTATTAAAGGTGATTGCTAAATAAATCAAGTTAAGAGACCCAGTAGGAGTGTCACACTTTAAGGTAAGTTTCACGTCAACCGAAATTAGTTCTTTTTACTTCGTGATTTTCTTTGGATATTTTTGTGTGCATATTTGATAACTGAATTTATGTGTGCTGAATTTGATTAAATATTATGATATGAAAGGGTTGTATTTGGGATATTAGTTGATATATTGGTTTGTTAATATGAGTTATTGTATACAATTTTGGGAGATTTTGTAATAGTACGTAATTTGTTATCTTTGTGGGAGTTTGATAAAAAGGAAATTTTTGAAGTATAAACTTCGATTGATTTTGAGAAAGCAAAGAAAAATAAATATTTTCATAAAGAGTGGGCATCACGGGAGAAATCCGTGATGTCGGTTTTCCACGTCCCTTAAAATGTGGAGGGTGGTTAGGTCTACTACTACTCAATTCTTGTTGGTATTGGTTTGAGGTGAATTGATGGTCGGTAGAAAACATCCCGATTTTTTAGTAGTAGTGGTAGTAGTAGCTCCTAATCATTCAGTTTTTGAGGTGGGGTAGTTGGTAGAAAACATCCTGACTACCCGGATCAACTTACTAACCCGGAGGGCTTGGAATACCTTTAGGGGGTGTGCACACTTAAAGTAGTTGTTTCCGTTTCCATTGAGCAGTTGTGGTACCGGCAATAGTCCCGGGGTGGCCGTACATAACAACGGACCACCGGGCTCAACCAAAGTATTGAGCACCGCCCTTCTAAAGTACTAGGGAGTTAGTTACAAAGTGATTTTTGGAAGAAATTTAAAAGAGGAGAATCTTGGCGTTTCATGTATTTTGGAATTATTATGATATTTGCAAATTGTGTGGTTGGGATTTTGTATAGATACCATCTACTTACAATTTATAAAGTGATTTGAAAAATATTTTATGAGGTTGTACGAATTTATATATATATATATATTAATTATTATTATTTTAAAAGGTTAGGTGGAACTTACTTAGCATTATTGCTAATGTTTGTTTTCTTTTTATTTTCTCTTGCTCGTTCTAACAGGAGGTGATCATGTTGATTTTGATGCTGGAATGTTTGAGAGCGCGAATTAGAAGACCTTATCGTAGTTCACCAGAATAAACTTTAATATTTGCTTATGATTCGAACATCTTGATTTTTATCTAAACTCATGTTTTGGTAGATAGCCTTAACATCCAACCATTCACGGATTGGATGTGGCGGTGACATACCCCTTTCCTTTATTTTACTTATTTCCGCTGCAAACATTTGAATGTTTAAATAATAAATAAAAGTTCATTTCTATTTCAAAGTATTATTTTGGGTGGGAAATTTGGGGGTGTCACAAGTTGGTATCAAAGCCCTTAGGTTTTCCGAAAGGATTAGGACACGAGGTAATAGGTCGTAGGGAGGAATTCTGTCAACGAGACGATAAGAGTCTGAGCTGGTTGGTGCATAATTGAGCCTTTGCGCTCGTCCAACTAACTGGGAATTTCTCCTTGTGCTGAAACTTCGTTGTTCGAAATCCTTAAATAAAACCTTTGGCATCGTACCTTCAAATGGGGATTTTCAAAATAGTTTGACTAGGAAAAATAAGATAGCTAGTAAATGACCTCTTAGGAACGCGGTGAGGATTGTGAGACTTTGTATTGCTTTTATATGTTGAAAAGAGATTCTTGATGTTATGTGAACTTTTGTTATGCCCAGTGATAGTAGAACTTGATATTGACTTAGTATTTAAACATGCATTAATAGGATAGTCAGCCTGATTGTTGCTAGACAATACCTAAGTATTTTCTTTGCTTTAGAATATGCCACCTAGAAGAGAAGTCCCCGCAGCGCCAACTAATGCTGAACTGGCGCTGACCATTCAACAACTTGCTCAAACGATTGGCGCCGCATTTGTCCAGAATCAGCAGAACAACAATGATGCCTCAAAGAGGGTAGCAGCACGGAATCCCCCAAGCTACCAGGGTCACGAGGATCCACTCGTTCTTGAAGATTGGATACGCACCTTCGATAAGTTGTTCGAAGCAGTTAACTGTCCAGCGGAACAGCGAGTTGACATCGCTGCATACTACTTGCATCAGGAGGCTGACAACTGGTGGGCCACTGATGGACCAGCACTACGTCAGCAGCCAAATTTTACTTGGGAGGCATTCAAGGAGGCTATGAGGGAAAGATTTTATCCCGAACATGTCAAAGCAGAGAAATACGAGGAGTTTTTGTATCTCAAACAAGGAGATATGACTGTCCAAGACTATTACGCCAAGTTTGTGGCGTTAGCTCGGTTTGCACGTGCTCTAGTACCGGACGAGAACAGCAAGGCCCGAAAATTCATCCATGGCCTCAATTTCGACACTCAGAAGGCTGTAAGCGTGCTAGGGTGCCAGACGTTGAACGAAGCCTATACGAAGGCTGCTCTCCACTATAGGATACAACGACTTCAGCGTGATGCTTACAAAAGGAACAAAAGAGGTGATGACGGTGACCAACCACATAGGGGGAAAAGAGGTAGACCCAATCCCCCTGAACAGCAAACACAATGGCGGGGAGGTGATCGCAATGGCAATCAAGGAGAAAGGAACTTCCAAGGGAAGGGTCCGACGGGTGAACGATACTATCATTGCAAGTTATGCCAAAAGAATCATCCTGGACGCGATTGTGCGGGCAATGCTGTGAAGTGTTACGAATGTGGCCGGATGGGCCACAGAGCATATGAGTGTCACGTGGGGAAAGGGAAGGCTCCCCAGAACCAAAGCCAAATCAACAAGGGAGGCAATCATGGAGGAAATAGACCAGGAGGCGCAGAGAATCCTAACCACAACACTCGTGGGAATGGGGGAAACCACAAGGGCAACAACAACGCCCCTAACCAAGGCAAGATCTACGTGATGAATCAAGCTCAAGCTAATGTCTGTGACGTGGTTTCAGGTACCTTTCAAGTGAACTCCATGCCTGCTTATGTTCTTTTTGATTCTGGTGCTTCTCATAGTTTTATATCTTCAAGCCTTGTTAAGAAACTGGGGATAGAACCCACTACTAGAATAGAATTGAATGTAAAAACGGCAGCTGAAAAAGTCGTGGCTTGTGGGAATGTCTACTCAAACGTACCCATACTCATAAGTGACACCAATCTCCCTGGAGACTTGATTCAATTCGATCTAGAAGACATAGACGTGGTGCTTGGCATGGATTGGCTTGGAAGATACAAAGCAAATATTTTATGTGGTGAGCAGAAGGTAGTCATGAAAGGCCCGAATGGGAAGAGAATATCCTACAAAGCGGTGACTACTAAACCGGGAGTGAAGCTGGGAACCATACAACAAATAAAACGCTACATTCGAAAGGGATGTGAAGCATACTTGTGCGTAGTCAAAGACTCGAAGGTGGAGGAGAAGACCATTGACCAAATTCCCGTGGTCAATGAATTTCCAGACGTGTTCCCGGAAGAGATTCCGGGGATGCCGCCTGAAAGAGAAGTGGAGTTCTCAATCGACTTGATGCCCGGGACTGCACCAATCTCGAAGGCACCCTACCGAATGGCACCAAAGGAGATGCAAGAGCTGAAGGAACAACTCCAAGAGCTGTTGGAGAAAGGTTATATTAAACCGAGTGTCTCACCTTGGGGCGCTCCGGTGTTATTTGTCAAGAAGAAAGACGGAAGCTTGAGGCTGTGTGTTGATTACCGGGAGCTTAATCGGGCAACTATCAAGAACAAGTACCCACTTCCACGCATTGACGATCTGTTCGACCAGTTGAAGGGCGCAAGTACATTCTCCAAGATTGATCTGAGATCTGGTTACCATCAAGTAAGGATTGCCGAGAGAGATATTCCAAAGACCGCATTTCGAACGAGGTACGGTCATTATGAGTTTACCGTAATGCCGTTCGGATTAACCAATGCGCCTGCGGTATTTATGGACTTAATGAACCGTGTGTTCCGACCCTACCTCGACTTATTCGTGGTAGTGTTCATTGATGACATCTTGGTGTATTCAATGACACCGAAGGATCACGAGGGGAATCTCAGAACAGCACTGCAGACCTTGAGAGACAACCAGCTTTATGCCAAGCTCTCAAAGTGTGACTTCTGGAGGGATCAGGTAGCATTCTTGGGCCACATCATTACCCAAGAAGGTGTATCGGTGGATCCATCAAAAATTGAAGCAGTGATAAATTGGCCTGCACCCACCACAGTGATGGAGGTTCGAAGCTTTTTAGGCTTGGCCGGGTATTATCGAAGATTTGTGAAAGATTTCTCAAAGGTAGCAAAGCCTTTGACCAACCTCACAAAGAAGACCACTAAATTCCTGTGGAGTAGTGAATGTGAAGAAGCCTTCCAAGAGCTGAAGACGAGGTTGACAACCGCACCAGTCTTGACTCTGCCATCCGGAACCGAAGGGTTTGAGATCTACAGCGACGCTTCATTGAAAGGGTTAGGCTGTGTACTGATGCAAAATGGAAAGGTGGTGGCCTATGCATCAAGGCAACTGAAGACTCATGAAGTCAACTACCCTACGCATGATCTGGAGCTAGCTGCGGTGATTTTCGCCTTAAAACTATGGAGACACTACCTGTATGGGGCACGATGCAAAATTTACACTGATCATAAGAGCCTCAAATACATATTCACGCAAAAGGAGCTCAATATGCGACAACGTCGATGGTTAGAACTTGTCAAGGATTACGACTTAGAGATTCAATACCATGAAGGAAAAGCTAATGTTGTGGCTGACGCTCTAAGCCGTAAATCAATGCATTCTGGTAGAGCAACCTGGATTCTACCTGACGAGTTATGCCGAGATTTCCAGAAGCTGAATCTGGAAGTGAGAGAACTCGGGGAGGTAGATAGCGAGATGCGACTATACTCTATGACCGTTACCCCATCAATCTTTGAAGAAATCAAAGCGGGACAATCTGGAGATGTGAAGCTGGAGCGAGTTAAGGTCGGGATGAAAGATGGGATCAACGGACCATTCAGGTTACATGACGACGGGAGTATACGATATAAAGGCAGGTGGTGTGTCCCAATGAAATGTGAGCACATCAAAAAGCAAATCATGGAAGAAGGACACAACACGCCTTATTCGGTACACCCGGGTGGAGATAAATTATACAAAGACTTGAAGAAGAACTTCTGGTGGCCGAGGATGAAGAAAGAAGTGGCAGAATTTGTAGCCCGATGCCTTAACTGCCAAAAAGTCAAAGCTGAGAGATGCAAACCCAAGGGACTCATGCAACCCTTGGAAGTGCCAACGTGGAAATGGGAATCGATCTCGATGGACTTTGTTGGAGGGTTACCCTTGACAAAGTCCGGGAAAGACAAAGTTTGGGTGATCGTTGATAGACTGACCAAGACTGCGAGGTTCATTCCCATGAATGAAACTTGGAGTATGGATAAACTGGCAAGGGCATACATCAAACACGTGGTCAAATATCACGGTGTGCCCCGAGATATTGTATCTGATCGAGACTCCCGATTCTTATCGCAATTCTGGAAGGAATTGCAAGCAGCTATGGGGACCAAGCTAAAGCTAAGCACTGCATTTCATCCTATGACGGATGGACAGACGGAGAGGACAATCCAAACACTTGAAGATATGCTGCGAGCTTGCGTACTAGACTTGCAAGGATCATGGGATGAACACCTAGACCTGATAGAGTTCTCGTACAACAACAGTTACCATGCAAGCATCAAGATGGCTCCGTACGAGGCTCTATATGGTCAAAAGTGTAGAAGCCCATTATGCTGGAGTGATATGGCGGACAAAGTCGTCTTAGGACCGCAATACTTACAAGACACCATGGAAAAAGTCAAGCTCATTCAAGCAAGGATGAAAGCAGCACAAGATAGGCAGAAATCATATTCGGACCTAGGAAGAAAACCAGCTGAATTCGAGGTGGGAGAAAAAGTTCTACTCAGAGTCTCCCCGACAAAGGGAGTAATGAGATTTGGGAAGAAAGGCAAGCTGAGTCCTCGATTCATCGGACCTTATGAGATTTTGGAGAGGGTGGGAAGAGTAGCCTACCGACTAGCTCTACCCACCGAGTTAGACAAGGTATGAAGCTTACAAGCTCTTTAAACTCTATTATCAATCTAAACATACTAATATACGATATATTAGGTACACAACGTCTTTCACATATCTCAGTTAAAGAAGTACGTCCATGATGAGTCCCATGTTATCACCCCAGAGGTATGAACCTCAACCTTAGAACTCTCGAAACCCAAAAATTTGACATTGCGAGTAATATGTACGTACTCGGTATTAGGTGGTCGAGTTGGATGAGACTTTGACTTATGAGGAGAAGCCTATCAAGATTATTGACAGCAAGACACGTGAGACTAGAAAAAAGGCAATTAAAATGGTGAAAGTTTTATGGTCAAACCATTTGGCTGAAAACGCCACTTGGGAGACTGAAGATGACATGCGAAGCCGTTACCCTGAGTTATTTGATTAAGGTAAAATCTTAGTTACGGGGACGTAACCTCTCTTTTAGGGGGGTGGAATGTAATACTTGGTGATTTTATTCTATGAGAACTGTTTCTTTATCTTATTATGCTTCGGGGACGAAGCATCTTTTAAGAGGGATAGAATGTGACACTCCGAAGAAAAAAATAAATAAATAAATAAATAATAATAAAATATATAATATTAGAAAGAAAGAAAAAAAAATAGTTCAGTTTGTTAAAAGTGATAAGTGACGTTAGTCAGATTAAATTTTGTTTACTTAAATAAAAGTGACACGTTTTAGTAATGATCATTTAAAAAAAAAAAAAACGTTAATACCAAGTGCACATTACAAGATTAATAATTAAGTAGATATTGACTTTTCAACACCATATACACGTACATACTACTAGTAAAATATACGGACTAGCTTATACATAGCAACTATTTCGAATATTCGGTGTCGTATCAGCGTATATTAACTTAGTGATAAGGAAACCGTCCAGAATCTTCAAACCGGCGAATACTCATACCTAAAATAATAATACATACACGAAGTACAGCACCCCGTATTACCTACGTGCATGGAAACATATTAATGGGTGATAATTGCCTAAGATCTGCTACGAGCCTAGAACCTTCAAAACTGGCCTATAAATACGTTTCGACCACCTCCGCATCTCAATCCACACCTCCACATACGAAACACTCTAACATTACACCATCTCACCGTTCACTTCGACCAACAAGAAGACCCGCTACTGCTGCAGAAGGATCGGACGCCGGGGCTCGCCGAAGAGGGGACCAAGTCTAACTATTGACAAGGGACGGAGGAAGAACTGGTTACCATACCACCACCGCCACCGAAAGGAAAGATCTGACGCTGACCGGGCCGCCACCGCACTACCGAACTGGTACCATAGTTATCTTACCCTACTTTCCTACAATTTTCCGGCCAAACGACGGTAGTACGTCGCCGTAAGTTTTTAATAAAACGTAGTATTACTGACTAGTCCACTCATAACTTTAACATCAATTGTAATAAAATAATACCGAGTGATAATACGGAGTAACGATAGTCATATAACAATAATAAAAATATAGTTTGACTTATGACTAGTAATCATTAAGATCATATAAAATGGATGGTGATAATAAAAATCAGAAATAGATAATGTTAATAATTAAATAAAAGTATTACCAATACTCGTAGTAAATCCTTACTCTTATATGGATATGATTCTCGGAGTAGCTAGTCAATTATCATATAACTTAGGCTGGACTCCTTAATTTAGTTATTGGGATCATTTTGACTAGCCAATCATAAGTAAACTAAAAGTAATACGTAGTAATAATCTGGAATAGGAGAATGTTAATATGGGTTAGGTAGGAAGTAACTACTGGATCATTTACCTGTCTGAAATAATAAACAGACTAAGTGGACTAGGGACTTGCATGTTACGATTGCTCGTCGTTATTAAAAGATTGAGTCGAAATACAGGATCGGTAGCAAGAATTAACTGATCAATTGGTTAAAGAAGATTGTTGGATACAGAGTACTCTTTTGAAATAAACTAGACTAACTAATTAAATTAATAAGTAGTATTACGGAGTAGTATATTAGTGATTTACGATTCCAAATTTCCGAATTCGTAAGTTCCTTATTATAAAGGAATGAAATCCGAAGTAATTAGACCAGAGTAACGGCAAATTTTAATTTATTAAATAATGGACGTTAATTATGAAATAGATAAATAAATAAAGTTAGCCGATTGAGTGGATGAGATATCGAGGACTAATTATAGAGTTTTGATTTATTAAAGGTGATTGCTAAATAAATCAAGTTAAGAGACCCAGTAGGAGTGTCACACTTTAAGGTAAGTTTCACGTCAACCGAAATTAGTTCTTTTTACTTCGTGATTTTCTTTGGATATTTTTGTGTGCATATTTGATAACTGAATTTATGTGTGCTGAATTTGATTAAATATTATGATATGAAAGGGTTGTATTTGGGATATTAGTTGATATATTGGTTTGTTAATATGAGTTATTGTATACAATTTTGGGAGATTTTGTAATAGTACGTAATTTGTTATCTTTGTGGGAGTTTGATAAAAAGGAAATTTTTGAAGTATAAACTTCGATTGATTTTGAGAAAGCAAAGAAAAATAAATATTTTCATAAAGAGTGGGCATCACGGGAGAAATCCGTGATGTCGGTTTTCCACGTCCCTTAAAATGTGGAGGGTGGTTAGGTCTACTACTACTCAATTCTTGTTGGTATTGGTTTGAGGTGAATTGATGGTCGGTAGAAAACATCCCGATTTTTGAGTAGTAGTGGTAGTAGTAGCTCCTAATCATTCAGTTTTTGAGGTGGGGTAGTTGGTAGAAAACATCCTGACTACCCGGATCAACTTACTAACCCGGAGGGCTTGGAATACCTTTAGGGGGTGTGCACACTTAAAGTAGTTGTTTCCGTTTCCATTGAGCAGTTGTGGTACCGGCAATAGTCCCGGGGTGGCCGTACATAACAACGGACCACCGGGCTCAACCAAAGTATTGAGCACCGCCCTTCTAAAGTACTAGGGAGTTAGTTACAAAGTGATTTTTGGAAGAAATTTAAAAGAGGAGAATCTTGGCGTTTCATGTATTTTGGAATTATTATGATATTTGCAAATTGTGTGGTTGGGATTTTGTATAGATACCATCTACTTACAATTTATAAAGTGATTTGAAAAATATTTTATGAGGTTGTACGAATTTATATATATATATATATATTAATTATTATTATTTTAAAAGGTTAGGTGGAACTTACTTAGCATTATTGCTAATGTTTGTTTTCTTTTTATTTTCTCTTGCTCGTTCTAACAGGAGGTGATCATGTTGATTTTGATGCTGGAATGTTTGAGAGCGCGAATTAGAAGACCTTATCGTAGTTCACCAGAATAAACTTTAATATTTGCTTATGATTCGAACATCTTGATTTTTATCTAAACTCATGTTTTGGTAGATAGCCTTAACATCCAACCATTCACGGATTGGATGTGGCGGTGACATACCCCTTTCCTTTATTTTACTTATTTCCGCTGCAAACATTTGAATGTTTAAATAATAAATAAAAGTTCATTTCTATTTCAAAGTATTATTTTGGGTGGGAAATTTGGGGGTGTCACAGTGCTCACCTCTACTGAAATGCCTGCTCAACTGCAGCACTTATTCACCGCCCGTGATCCTTTGTCTAAACAGTTCCAGGCGTGTGTGCGAACATACAACAATACGTTTGCCTTCACATCGATTGGCATATACAACTACGACAAGCAGCTGTGTAGACGAAATCAAGGAATTTATACATTTAGAGTCCAAGGTCAGATATATCATTTTATCAATGACTTGCTCCCTGATGGATGCCCACCTCGGAACTTGCAATTGTATTTTTACGACACAGAGTGTGCTCTGGATAGTAGACTAGAAAGTACTGACCACCTGGACAGAGCAGTTGTAACAGCGTTGATGGATGTACTCTCCACGAACCCATATGCGCAATTTTTCAAGTCGTTGTCTGACATTGAACGCACAGATGAATTTTCCATCGTGCTGAATGGTAATCCTTCTCTTGATCAGCGGGTTTACAATCGACCAACTTCGTCCCAAGTTGCTGCTGTTTGGGTTGAGGATGAATACGAGGGACTGGTATCCAATAGGAACATTCGCGTATATGCACACAGCGGTGGGTCACAAAATATTCATTACTACTATGGTTGTTATGATCCATTGCAATATCCTCTATTATTCCCTCTTGGTGAGGTTGGCTGGCATGAGGGGATACCGAAGACAACTAGGGGCGTTGCCAATTATGCCGGGCTGCCACATCCTACTGCCTCCGTTGGCTGTTCCCAATTTGAAACCGATGATGCTCTAATTGCTGGCGAGGAAAACATGCGGTCTGATGGCAGGAAGAGGCCGTCTGTTTCATGCAGGCAGTATTACGCATACAAGCTCCAGATGCGCCATGAAAACACTTCTTTCATACTACACACGGGGCGCCTGTTTCAGCAATACATAGTGGACATTTATATAAAGATAGAAACGCAACGGTTGGACTACTACCGGAGTAAACAACGTGAATTCCGCTCAGACACATATCAAGGTTTGGTTGATAGCGTTGATGCAGGCGTGCAGAACACCAGTGATGTTGGGCGTCGTGTGATGCTTCCTGGGTCCTTCATAGGTGGTCCCCGTGATATGCGCGGCCGTTACATGGATGCGATGGCGCTTGTGCAGAATTTTGGTAAACCTGATCTGTTTATAACGATCACGTGCAACCCTAATTGGCCTGAAATCAAAGAACGCTTGGCTTTCGCGGATGAAGTCCAAAATCGGCCAGAACTCGTTGCTCGTGTTTTCCGTTCTCGATTGGAGGACTTTAAGAAGGACGTAATAAAGGGTGCGTTGTTTGGCAAGGTTGTTGCGTACACATATGTGATCGAGTTCCAGAAAAGGGGTCTCCCACACGCTCATTTCTTACTTATCCTTTCGCATCCTTGCAAAATTACTACCTCTGAGCACTGTGATCAGCTTATTACTGCTGAGATTCCGGATCCTTCAAATGACCCCGGCTTGTATCTTCTTGTAAAGAAGCATATGATCCATGGCCCTTGTGGTCTCATGAATCTTAAGTGCCCTTGCATGGTTACACCACGTGGGTCGGAAACACCTTCGTGTAGAAGTAACTATCCACGTGAAATTGCTCCTGTGACATTATTTGATGAAAATTGTTTTCCTACATATAGGAGGCGAGGTTCTGGGGTGACAGTGAATGTGCGGAAGTATAATCTCGATAATAGGTGGGTGGTCCCCTATAATGCACGATTGTTAAGAAAGTATGATTGCCACATCAATGTGGAATCCTGTGCGAGTGTTAAATCTGTTAAATATATATACAAATATGTATATAAAGGGCATGATAGGGTGAGTATGGCGCTGTCAGGTGTAGGGGATAGTGATGTTATTGATGAGATATCAAATTTCCAAAAAGCCCGCTGGGTCTCTCCGCCTGAAGCTGCGTGGCGTATTTTTGGGTTTCCAATTGCTGAAATGAAACCCGCTGTCTTACAGTTACAGGTGCACTTAGAAAATTCGCAATACCTCAATTTTTATGGGAACCAACGGATTACTTATGTAACCGAGTCTGCAGATTCTACTAAAACTATGCTCACTCAGTTCTTCTCTATGAATGTAACCAACGCAACTGCCAGAGCATTAAACCTGTTGTATGTTGAATTCCCTCCACTAGTGGAAAAATTACATTTTATAACTGGCATTTTATATGGGTTGGTATCCAACCGTGATAGAACGTAGGCGCGGGGTCAAAATTGCAATATTTGAAAGTTTACATCCTACGCTGGGGCTTTATAATAATCCATTGACACACATTCCATAACGGATAATAAGAGAACCGACGTTAAATATAAAAACGGGGTCATATTCATAATATTTGAAAAGTATGCAGGTGAAACGGGGTTCTTTTTATCAAGCTGAAAACTATTATTAATGTCAGTTAAATATTGTCCCTTATTAAAAGTATTGGACTTTGATTTTTATGCTGCACAGCCTCCTGATTCCTGCCATTCGACAACTACAAAAAAAATCAAAGGATGAAATTAAAATTTCCGGAAGAAGACCTAGCGACTGAGACGATGTGCCGCTGCAATACTCGTAGCTGATTTCCGGCTGCTCCTCGGCGACGGCCAGTGACGACGCTCTCTCCTCACCGCTGCAATACTCCTGATTTCCGGCTGCTCTGTCCTCACCGCTGCAATACTCCTGATTTCCGGCTGCTCTGTACTCTTCGTCTCTGCCTAGCGTCAGTTCCGCATCAAGTCATCGGTCTTTCATCTCTTGACCATCTCTGCCGAACGCCGCTCTCTCATCTGTTGCAGCGGGCTCTCTCATCTCTGCCAAACGCTGCTTCTGCATCTACACCCACAGACTCTCAATCTACCACATATCTTCTACTCTATCCAGGTAAACCCCAATATTTGTCTACACACTAATTATGTAATTATTGTGTATACATTTTTGTGTGACTTCAATTTGGTTTAAAACATGCTAGAGGGAGTGTTTACCAAACAGATTTATTCACTTGGTTCAGTGAATTTATTAAAGTGTATGTGGACAAAGTCTTTTTTTTCATTCTGTTTGGATTGTGTTAAAGTTAGTAATACATTTAGACACCATACTAAAACTGAATTACATATGCCATATGATTCATGGAATCGATTTCAAAACACAGCAGTATACTCAACCACTATTAGGTTCTGTGAATGGATTTCTAGTAGGTGGCGCGTCTCTAAAGGGTCCCGAGTTTGCATCCATTGTTAACTCTGTCACTTCCAAAAAGGTGACTGCTTGATTATTGTTACTCGATTTGGTTTTGGTTGTACGATAGGCGATAGGAAATAAATGGCCTGGAGAAATTTTGATAGAACTACTCGTGTCATAAACTTGAAAAAGGTTTTACGGCCGGAGTGTGATGGCATGTAATTGCTCTTGTATCATGTGATGCTTTTGTTTACTGACACACCATAGAAGAGATTAGGCCTGGGGGCGTGAGTTTGGAGCATGAAATGAAAAGTTTTAGAGGTTGTGAGGTTGAAAAACAAAACTCAGCCACTATTAGAAGCATGCAAAATCAATATTTAAGTGAAAAATGTCAGGCACTATTTGAGTATTTTAGAAGAATACACTATCAAAAGGAAATGTGCACTTCTTCTCCATTGAATGATTTTTATTTCATGTCACATCTATGGTATATTGACTTCGTGCTGTGATTCGGACCCTTTATGGCAGTAAGTTATGTAGCTTTCCACTATCAAGAATTGTCTTCCTTGTTCGGCTTCTGAACTTCAATTCCTCTTGACCTAAAAATGATGCTTTGTACATATTCAAGTGTTTTTCTTAGAATCTTACTTGAATGAGTTCTTGGGAAATTTGTCAGAATCGACTTATGGTTTCATAGATTAGTTAGGCTTGGCGTGAATTATATTTTATTCAACTATTTTATATATTGAGGGATTGTAATTCTATGTACTGGTAGGAGTTTCACCCGACTTATACCGTTCTGTTCATAACTCACATAACTGGGAAGTTTTCTTTCAATATTTTTGCTACAGAGAAAGTACAAGTACAATAGAGAAAGTCTAGATGTAAAAAATTACATAGCTAGGCAGTTTATAATTTGATCGGTTGGGGAAGAAACAATAGCAGGGAGGTTTTACGATGGAATAATGATATCCATGATGTGACATTGCTTGTGTAGGATAATGATGACCATGATGAAGACAATGCTTCGGGTGAGAACCAGGAGGGTCCAATATCACGTTTATTGACAATGACTACTCACCTTGGTCCACAACCGATAAAGCTAATCCTGAAAGAAGAAATAATTGGGCGTTCTGATATATCCCTTTTTGTTGGCTCTGAAGAGATATTAGAGATATGTAAGGGGAATCAAATGCTAAGTGCAGTGGTTCTACAAGTATGGATAATGTAAGATGGATTTTTTGTTTTTTCTCATAGTAGTTATGTTATTGATCTTTTATGGAAGGTAGAAGTTTCTTAATCTTCTTCTTATATATTTATTATGATTAAATTTACAGGCATTTGCATGGGATTTGTGTTCAAAAGGATACTACACATTTGTACGGGTTTTTTGACCCACATACCACTCAAGATGTGGGGAACAAGCGTGAAGATATTCAAACATATATAATGACTCAACTGAGTGATGGAAACAAAGAGTGCTACTTACTGCCATACTACTATCCGTAAGATTTTTTAATTTTATTATGTACTTTTCATTTTTATTAATGTGTACCCCTACAATTAAAGCTGCCCGATATTAGGGCAGCCATACCTAATCATTTTGGATTACATATAATTTGAATTCAATGAGCTATGTGCTCAGGACTTTTGGGATTGTGTTTGATTCGGTAGTTGTGGCCTCTTTTTTAACAACTACCTTCTTTGTCCACTGTATGTGCGTACGGTAGCCATAACATAGCATTGTTGGGTTATAGATGATT